GCGGGTGGTGCCAGGTATCGTGTACCTGGGTCACATCCCGCCGCGCTTCCGACCCCTACATGTACGCAACCTGCTCAGCGCCTACGGTGAGGTCGGACGCGTGTTCTTTCAGGCCGAGGGTAAGTGTGCGTCCCCCAGCGCGAAGGAAGGAGGATGGCGCGCCTCCTGCGGCCTGGGCTATGTAGGGTTGCGGCGAGAGTGCAGGCTTTGGAGCGGGCTGGCTCTCTTCTTTGACTGGGTGAATAGATAGTGCGCATGTCTCGTAGGAGGCTGTGGAGGGGCGCGGGGAATGGGGACCTCGGCGGGGTGGGTGACCGTACTCGCCGCCTTTCTGAACCTTTGCGATATATTAAATGAACACAACCAGTATACAGTCTAAGGGGTATTTCTTTTAACCAGAAAATCAGCAATGTTATTTTTAATACAGATGTGGCTGGAGTGTTTAATTCAGTAGGGCAGTGATTCCAGTTAAATAAAATGAAAAACTTTTTATTTCGCCAAATATAAAATTATTAAATTGATGTCTTAAAATATAACATGGTGAAAGCTTTAAATTATACCCCCATTTACCACATATGATTTACTAGTCACATGTTCCACCATTTTGGCAGAAGGATGACATTTTTAACAGTTTATAAACCTAAAATAGCAAAGATTGTATACATCTCCGTATATACTTTTCTTTACGTACAAAACACTTTTATTTATGAACTATTTATTTATGAGAGTAAAACAGTAAATTCGGGTGCATTGTATATACTAAGAGCAGCACAAATTTGTCAACAGTTAAATTTAATGTGGAAGCAGATGTATTAAAAATGTAGAAATGTAGTAAATGTATATACAGAATGCTGAGATTGTATTAACAAACTGTAGGTACATGGTGATATACTGAACTATTTGCTTTTTAGCATAGTTGTTTTTGTTGCTACAGGCCTTTGGTTGTAAACTACTTGACTAGTTTTAAGCTCACATAGTTTCTTAAGATTTTGTATGTTTTAAATGCAAGAAATAAGTATAAAAGCACTAAATCTCCTTGTGCACTGGTACAGAAATTACAGTGGCTGGTTTCTAGTCACAAAATAATTCTTGTATTTAACCTGACTGTGCCATAGGGAAAAATAAGATTTTCAAGATTTTCTAGCTTACCCCAGAGTCAGAATCCCCTGGCCTCAGTTTCAGTGCTTCCATCTCTGCTACATACATTCCACAATACTTTTCTTCTTTGGACCATTTATTTTAATACTTTGCTGTAAGGAAGAATAAAATTTAACTCCAGCTTGAGTGCCCACCACACATCACTGTTAAAGGAACATTTCTTATTTTCTTTTTTTGAGACGGTCTCGCTATGTAGTAGTTCAGGGTAGAACTCAAACTCATTTCTATAGCCCAGGCTTGCCTCTAACTCAGGACCATCCTCCTGCCTCAGCCTCCCAAGTGCTGGGATTATAAGTAAGTTCCACCATGCCTGGCTAAAAGGACATTTCTACAAAACTGAACACATCCCTTTTGCATCATGGCACAGATCAAGAAACTTATAATTAGCACCCCATCCCATTAAGATGGTAACTAAAATTGGTGTTGGGAGCTGTGGTGGATTTTAAATAGTGTTCAGGGAGGCTGATTAAGAAGCTGATAGACAAAGGAAACCTCAGCCTGTCTAGATCAAGGACTGGGAGGTAGGATGTAAGGCAGCAGGTTTAGAGACTGGAGGTGAGTGGAGTGCTGCTTTGGCCTTGATTGTGACTTTGACTTTGGTGTACAGACAAGTTCGTGAGACGCAAGAAGAAGGCAGCAGCAGCCTCAGGAGGAAAAAAGGGATCCAAGTACAGCAAGGACTATACTGAGGGCTGGGTGGAGTTCCGGGATAAGCGCATAGCCAAGCGTGTGGCTATGAGTCTGCACAACACACCCATGGGTGCCCGCAGGCGCAGCCCCTTCCGCTATGACCTGTGGAACCTCAAGGTGAGGAGTTGGGCCTGTCTGCCACCCTTCCAGTCCTCTCCTCCTCTTCCTGGTGAGCTTTTCTTGGCCTCAGGCCTCCACCCATTTCTTCTCCCTCCTTGATCTGTCCCATTCTGAACTTTTCTTGTTTTCCTGCCCACAGTATTTGCACCGTTTTACTTGGTCCCACCTCAGCGAACACCTTGCCTTTGAGCGCCAGGTACAGAGGCAGCGCCTAAGAGCCGAGGTTGCCCAAGCCAAGCGTGAGACCGACTTCTACCTTCGGAGTGTGGAGCGAGGACAGCGCTTCCTTGCAGCTGATGGGGACCCTGCCCGCCCAGACAGTTCCTGGTCCTTTGCCCAGCGTCCTACTGAGCAGGAGCTAAGAGCCCGGAAAGCAGCACGGCCAGGAGGGCGTGAACGCGCTCGCCTGGCTACTGTGCAGGACCAGGCCCGCTCCAACCGAGGACTTCTTGCCAGGATCTTTGGAGCTCCACCACCATCACAGAACAGAGAGGGACCTTCTCTAGTTAAGGACTCCTGAGGGGCAGGAAGGCCCCTTCCATGTCCTGGCCTTGCCCCGCTTCCTGTCTATATTAGGCTGGAGTGAGACTGCTACCCAATAAGGAGCCAGATAAAAAAGTTTTGTGGACTCCTCTGTCCCTCTTTTTCAACTTCTGCAAGCACCTGGCTGAAGCACTTTATTCATACTAGTGTGATTATGACTGTTGCAGCTTTTGAAAGCCAGTCTTTTGCCCAGTGGGGACCTCTTGAAAGCCCATGACCTGGCACCATGTGTGGCCTTTATTTCCAACTAGAATGATAATGGCCTGGCATTCTTGTTCTGTTTACTGACATAGGTAAGGGTAGCAACAGCACTGTTTTTATTTAGAAAATGTTAACAAGTTGCCAGGTGTGGTGGTGTGAGCCTGTAATCCCAGCACTTGAGAGGGTGAGGCAAGAGATCACTACAAGTTCAAGGCCACCCTGAACTTTATGAGACCCTGTCTCAAAAAAGAAAAAAAAAAAAAAAAAAAGAAGAAGAGGAAGAAGATGTTATAATGGGTTGGGATTGGGTTGAGACCCTTTCTTTAAATATGTTTATGGAAAATAAAATATATTTTTTGTATTTTTTTAGTTTCAGGTATAGAGTCAGGTTAGTTTTAACTTCAAAGTGCAATACTGAGTTTTGAACCCAAGGTTGCTCTACCACTGAGCTACATCCTCAGCCATTTTATTTATTTTGAGACAGGGTCCTGCTAAGTTGCCCAGTCGGGCTTCAAACTTGTGATCTTTCTGCCTCCGCCTCCCAAGTATGTGGGATTACAGTCACCCACCACCATTCCTGGCTGATTCAACATTTATAAAGCCAGTGTGTGTAGAAATGGTGATAGTGGATATGTGCTTAGTCTTTAGGCCATTGGGATAAGGTAGATAGGCATCATTGGAGAAGCATGTGAGGGGTAAAGTGGGCCTTGGCAGTGTGAGTAGAGCTGCCTTTGTGGTCCTGGTTGGTGGGAACAGTCTCCTGGGGTGTGTTAGTCTTCATCAAGTTTTTCCAGGTCACCCCTTGAAAGTGAACTGGGAAATGACAGCATTAAGTCTGAAAGATCCTGCTGTGTTCCTACAGTTGCAAACAGTGCTTCATGGATTGAGTATTGGATTAAAAAAGGTGGGCAAAGCCTAGGAGGGAAGTTGGAAATAAACGCTGTTTGGCTATGTGTTGGTACTTAGGTCACAGGTTCACACTGGGCACACAAAACTGCCCTGCTTTCTTCAGAGTTTGGATAAATCACTAAGAAACTGAGAACTTGGATGTCAGAATAAACTAGAATCTATACATGGTCTCATAGATTAAAAGTGATCATTATCCGAGCTGTTAGTTTAGGGGAAGTGGTAGAATGTTATAATTATTTGGGTTTTGCTTGTAATTTTTTTTTAGGCAGCCTCACTATGTAGTTCAGGCTTGTCTTGAACTCACTATATAGTCCAACCTGACCTCAAACAACAATTCTGCAACACCATGCCCAGCAGTGTTAATTACTACTATTTGTTTTTGGTTTTGGGGGACAGTTCTGCTGTGTAGTTCAGGCTGGGCTTTTGCTGTGTAGCCCACACTAGCCTCAAACTTACTGCAATCTTCCTGCCTCAGCCTCCAGAGTGCTGGGATTACAGGCATGGACCAGCATGCTCAGCAAGAATTTGTCTCATTTGGATTGCTTCTTTAACTCATGATGACTTGAAATGTGCCAGGAAAATCCAGCTTCAGAATCTGACAAGTTGGCATATTAGAAATAAAAGTAGATAAAAGACAGTCTTCTTTCCCTGAGGTTGCTGACAGTTTAGAAAGTGAAAGCCAGGCATGGTGTGCACCTGTAATCCCAGGACTTGGGAGACTGAGGCAGGAGGATTGCCATGAGTTTGAGGTCAGCCTGGGCTATGTAGTGAGTTCAAGGTGAGCCTGAACTACATAAACGCTGACTCAAGGGGGAATTTTTTTTAAAATGTAAGACAATGGCTTGGTATGAATTTCCTGGATGAGTGAAGGAAAGTGTCCCATGCTGGTGTCCGCAGTGTATACTCAAAGGTCAGAACCTCAAGCTTCACTTTTTTTTTTTTTGGTACTAGGGATCGAACTCAGGACCTTACACTTGTGAGGCAGGTGGTAAAGCTTCACTTCAAATAGCTCGTCAGGAAACACTATACCAGTCAGGCTGGATGTTGCAGCTGGAGTTAGTAATGAGAAGAATGAGTAGAAGAAAATGTGTTTCCAGGAATTTTTCTCTTAGTTCCCTCTAAGCATTTTGAGACCATCATTAGCTACAGATAAGATCCACATATACTGGTTTCAAACTTAGTTCAAGAGAATGTAACATCTTAAGTGTGCCAAGGGACCTGTGTAAAGTTCAGATCATTTACAAGGGGTTACTAACTAAAACCTCAATGTCCCAAATTAAATGGAGATCTCTACCCAAGGAGTAAACGGACCTACTTCTCTCTAGGTAAACACAGCCTATTGTATTTGTACAAAAATAATGATCTTGGAGGAAGAAAATGATATTCTTTAGGGGCCGGGGATTTAGGTCAGTGGTGCTGCAGCCTGCCTCCTAAGTGTGAGGTACAGAGTTCAATCCCCAGTGCAAAAAAAAAAAAGATATCTTTAAAGGACCCAGTTAATCATATAAATGCAGACCTCACCAAAAAAGAGAACTGCTGGCCAATCTCTTGAATGAACATCCTCAATAATTGATTAAAAAATCCTCAGTAAGATACTGGCAAACAATGCAGCAAATCATCCAGAAAATTATAAAATATGACCAAGTAGGATTCAACACAGGGATGTAGGTATGGTTCAACATACACAAGTCAGTAAATGTAATACACCATATTAACAGAGCCAAGGACAAAAACATGATAATCTCAATAGATGCAGAAAAATCATCTGACAAAGCCCAATACCCATTCATGATAAAAACCGTATATAAAATTGGAACATATGGTCATCTCAACCTGATAAAAGCCATCTATGACAAACCAACATCCAAAATTACATTAAACTGACAAAAACTGAACGCTTTCACTCTAAAATCAGGAAGAAGACAAGGATGTCCCCTGTCACCACTCTTAATAGAATTCTGGAAACATTAACCACAACAATTAGACAAGAGAAATAAGTAAAAAGAATAAGGCTAAGAAAGTGAGAAGTTAAATTATCATTATTTACTAATGACATAATGCTCTATGTTAGAAGACCCCCAAAACTCCACTAAAACACTGGGAAACAACACCTTTCACAATAGCAGGCCCCCAAAACAAACTTAGGAATCAATATAACAAGGGAAGTAAAAGACCTTTACATTGAAATCTACAGTACACTGCAAAAAGAAGTTGAAGAGGATATCAGAAAAAGATATCCCTTGTTCTTGGATAGTGCGCCACCACACCCAGCTTGTTTTTTGCAGTCTTAATAGCTGTACCAGAGAGAAGCCAGGCAATCACTTTCAAGATGTGCCCTGTAGGAAAAGTAGGATGAATGTATACATGCATTCATATGTCACAATACACACACACACACACACACACACACACACACACACACACACACACACACACACACACGCTCATCTTTACTAAGAGAAATAAAGGCTGGGTCACCTTTGTCCCAGCATGGCAGAGTAGTCAGAATAGGCAGAAGCCTGTGGTGTTTTTGAGTAAAATTTTTTATATTACCTTGGCTTTTTAATCATGTAAATGTTTCATATATTTTAAAAAGTGTGAAAAAGCAAATCTTTACACTTAATAAAAACCAAATGAACTTAACTGCACAATCCAGTATTAGAAAAATGCCACCATTTAATAATCTTCAAAATAACATTATGGTTATGCTGACATGTCTGTAGTTCCAGCTATTTGAGGCAGAGGTGAGAGAATCATTTGAGCTTAGGATTTTGAGATGCAGCCTGGGTGATACAGTGAGAATGTATTGTTAAAAAAAAAAAAAAAAGGTACTCAATTAGTTTGCTTCTCCTTATAAACAATATTCGGAACAGTGTCATTGCCATTATCCTTATTGCTTCTTTTTTTTTCAGCTTTAATTGAGTTTATTGGTACATTTTAGGGATACAGTACAGTTACATTCATTGTTGGGATCTTGTACCTCCACATGACCCTTATTGCTTCTTAAACAGTTCATCTTCAGCATCTTCACGTTGATCCTATCATGGATAGGATCCAAAAGGCAGCCAAAACCCTCATTGTGTTGAAGGCTTGGTTGCTAGCTGATGGGATGTGAGGAACTAAAAGTATCATGAAGGGTCTGACTTCATCAAGTGGATTCATCTTTTGTAGTGTTCAAAGCTCAATGGGTTTATGGGGAAGTGGGGTCTAATAGGACAAGACAGGGCATGCCTTTGAAGGTAGGTTCTTGATCCCTTCTTCTCTAGCTCTTTTACAACACTCATTACTTCCTGGCTGCCATGAGATGGACAGATTTTCTCTGCTCTCTCACCAGGATGTTTATGCCTCAGAGCCAGTTGCCATAGAATGAAACCTCTGAAACCATGAGCAAAAATGAACTTTCTCCTTTAAATTATATATGTCAGGAATTGGTCACCATAATGGAAAGGTGACTGATTCCTCATAACACATTCTAACATCTTCCATAACTTTCTTGCTATCTGGCACAAAGATGTTCCACAGTCACCTTTAACATAATCTTACTGTCTTTATTAAAGAGCCCTGGACTATTATTGGGAGTTCAATTTCAAATGTTAGTGCAAGATGATTTAGTACTCCTGGTTGGTTAAATTGTTCCACTGGATAGATTTGAGGAAGTTGTGGAAAACTCCAAAGACCTTTGGCACTTTGCAACTTAAGTTGGGCTGTAGCAGTACATCCTAACCTGTGATGGACCAGTGCAGCTCTTTGGAAATCTGGTGAAGCTGTAAGCCCTCTTTTACTTAAAACCTGGCATACAATTTCAGGCAGTTCACAGACCAACTACTTCCCAGGTATGAGTTTCATATAATTTCATGTTACTTTTCCTTTGCAGAGCTGGGGGGTCAAACCAAGAGCTTCAAGCACACTCAGCAAACCTCTACCACTGAGCTACATTCCCACCCATTAATTCATATTTTGTATTGATATTAATATTTGGTTACAAAGAAGTATTTAGCACAATCCAGGCAGAGAGAGCAAGATAAGCAAAAAGCAAGTATGTACAAAATATCAAGAAAAATTACCAACCTAGGTAAGTTTATGGAACTGATTCAAGATGTTCTAAAAAGGAAAAAACTAGGCACAGTGGCTCATTTCAGGTATAATTTTTTTCCCAATCCTGGGGATGGAACTGAGTGCCTTATACATGCTAGGCAAGTGCTCTACCACTAAGCTACATCTCAGCCCTTAAGCCTAGTTTTTTTTGTTTTTGTGGTACCAGGGATCAAACTCAGGACCTTGTGCTTGTGAGGCAGGCGGCAGAACCACTAAGCCAAATCTCCAGCTCTTAAGCCTAGTTTTTGACCCATCTCCTGGTTAATTGAGGCACTGTCTTGCGCCACTCCCCAGAACCATGCTGTAGGGTGTAGTGGGGAGGGCTTATGTAAAATTTTTTTTCCTTTAGTAGTTTACATGTTTACTCTTGGATCAATGCTACTAACTTGAGAAATACTACCTGCTAAATTAGCTTAACCTAGCTCCAAACTAATCCTGACAAAGGAGATGGTATTTCACACTCTATAAACTCCTATGTAATAATAGGTGAGGACACAATACCCACCCTACATTAAAAGTTTAAAAAGGGTGATGCTTTAGACTCTTTTAAAGCTATGTAAGAAAACTTAGTTTGCATTATAAGTAATGGAAACTAATTTGTCTGAATAGGCCCTCAAGCAAAAGTAACTAAATCTACTGAACTAAGATGGATTGGCAAGAAAGGGGAGGAAAATAGCATGCAGTGTTGGAGAATGCATCCTTCACTTTGGCTGAGGTGATCTCTGAGTAGGTAACTAGGCAGAGATGAGAGGAGCGAAGCCAGATTGCAGCGTGGTAAGAAATGAACACTTATGAATGGAGGCAGCCAAGAATATAAGTCGGTAAATTCTGGAAGGGGGAAAAAGTGAAAAATGGGCAATGTTAAGAGCATCCTAACTTTTTTCAATAGAGAACGAAAAGGTACTATATACAGGAGAAATCTCAATAAAGGAAATGAAGCAATAGAAAGACCATGAAAAGGTCCCAAAGGCTATTGAAAACCATGTGTCTGAAGAAAAAATGAAATCTTTGGCATGTTAAAGGAGGCAGAACATTTACACCCAAAGACTGGGCAGAGATTTGTTTTGAAGTGGTCAGGAGAGCACTGACTGCCAGAGATTTTGGTGAAGCAGGCGAGCCAATTCAACAAGACTGGAGCCAAATGTGGATTCTACTGGAAAGTGAAAATTCAAAATTATTCCTTAATTTTGAGAGGTCAATCACTCACATAAATAACAGCTACTGAATTTTAGTAGAGCAGCAAATATTGTCAGTTCAAGCTATCAACCCTCCCTGCATGGTTTTTGTAACAGTGGAGGTTCCAAAAAGATCCAAGAATAAAAGCAAAATTCAACACAATATTCCTTCTTCCTGGCCTTAGCATCAAAAAAAATCCTGAAATTCTAGACTGTTCAATGGTTATCACCATCAGGATGTGTCACACGAGTACGTTTTATTCTAGTGCAAGTATAGAAGAAATACTAATTTCTTATAAGAGACCAAAAATGGGAGTTTTTCAGAACAAATGTTTATTTAAGAATTAAGGGAAAACATTAAAGCATAGGAATACATTAAGTACAATTTATCTCATTTGGTCTGAAATCTTGAAAAAGTTACTCTAACTACTTACCTGAGGTAGATTTAGGTTGGCACTGCTTCAAGGGAACCTCCATTCATCCCAGAAATTACCTTCTAGTTTTGGTTACAGGCTCCCCAGTGGTCCTCTCCAACCTCAGGTTACACTATATGGATAATATCAAACACCCCCCCCCATGGTTAAAGGCCCTCAGACCTGTTTCATATCCCCAAAGTTCTCTACTTGAGGGATGGTCCATCGTTAAAGACTAAAGACAATTACCAGTAAAATTAGTTGAAAAAAGCAAGTCATTGTCCTGTTAGTGATACCAACTTTGTCCCTTTCTCCATTATCTATGACTAGTAGCCAGAAGGACGAATTTTCAACACTGCCATGCCAGACACCCAATACTATTTCAGTGTTAAAACTGTCAAACTTATAGTAGTAACAGGCATGGTTTTTACCAGAGGGAAAAATACATCTTGGGCGTTTTATCATACTGGGCAACATTTCATGGTACAAGAGCTATTTATAAAATTAATGAAACATGTCAGATCAAATAAACTTATAAGACTCGTTTCCTGAATCAGATTTTTTATTATCAGCTATAGCCACTGGCCCTAAGATTATCATGCTCACCAACAAGCCATTAGGATCAAAGTTTACAGCCCTTTACAAGGTAAGTTGGCCAACTTCATGAACCCAAATGCCAGTATCCTCTGGAGTCTGGGAATCTAAGATAAATCAAACACAAAAATGAGAATTCTAACTAAAATATTTATTCACCAGTCCAGAGTCCCAAATACTGCAGGAATATGAAGTATTTGTATTAAATGTCTTTGAATCTGAGGGATAAAAAAAGAAAAAAAAAACCTGAAAAGTTGACTATTTATGCTTCCATGGATTATAGTATTTTTAAACAGTGTTAAAGACAAATCATAATTACCCTGTTAAATTGGAGATAACTGCTTATCTTTAAACTTCTGGTGAATTTGCCAAACCACTTTTCCTTTCTAGCGTTTAAAATCCTGTATTTCAAGCCAAAATATACCTTATATTGTGGTGACTGCAATCCTTTCCCTGGGATTAAAAGGTATTTTTCTCATTGGCAGAACTGAAATAAATTTTTAAAAAATGGATCATTACCAGGCTTGACTTTTCAAATATCAAGATAATGGAGTGAAAGGAACACCGACTTTGGAGTCAGGATACAGAAAATGAAGTCTGGCTCCTCTATTAGTAATAAACAACTGTGTCTTTTTTTACTTAGTGCCTACTCAGGTTTACACTTTTCTTTCAGTATTCCCCTAGCCATTTTGCTAGGAGCCAACTAAGACTTATCTATCACTGAGAGAGATGATAAATCAAGTAAAAAATATAGATACTAACACCATCATAACCATTATCCTGGAATTTGGATTTTGAGTTGAAATCTATAAATCTGAAATTCAAATACCAGTGACCACTGAGAAGATATTTTAGGGAAAAGAAAAATTTTGAGGGTATGCCTCAAATTGTGAACACAGTTGAAAGATTCACATTCTGCCTTTTTATGAAGTTGATCCCACTAAGGAACTGCTGGGAATGTTTTGACCTAAAATAAGTGCTTCCTAGCTTCTTACTTCCTTTCAAAGCAAGCAAATGACTGTCATGCTACCACAATACACTAGGCCCATTCTAGCCATGAGGCAAAATCAACATACTTCTCTCCACCAACAGTAATACATGCCACATCTTCTCTCAGGTATCAGTCCCTTCATTTATTGGATTTCTGAATATTAAAGTGAAATTAAAGCAATTAAGTGGTTTAGATAAAAGAAAAGCATCTTCACCTGAGTTACCCATCAGGTCTACTCTGACCTGCCCTACCTTCTCCTACAGGCAGCTTCTGGGATCTAGAAAACTATTTAACTCCATTTAAAGTTACCACTATCATATGGGTCAACTATGAGAACAGTTCTTCTCGTACATGTTTTATGTACACAGATGATTTATCCTCAATTAGCTCTCTCACTTGGCAGAATGGCTTCTTTGGGGCCCAATAAAAACAGAAGCTTTTAGCAAACTTTATTTTCAGACTCTAGGTATTTATGGGTTTTTCACTTATGTGAGTTCCCTCATGTACCCCAAGAGCTGATCACTGACAAGCTTTTCTTAAACATTTGTAGGGTCTTTCCTCAGACTAGTTTTTTTTTTTTTTTTGGGTATAAACCCAAGTAAGGCTCTCCAACTAATGTTTTTGCCACACTCGGGAGATATATACAATTTTCACCAGTATGGCTTCTAAGTCAGAGTTCTGTTAGAAGGTTTTTTTGTTTTTTGTTTTTCCCCACACTTGCTGGGGCTTCTCCCCAGGATGAAATTTTCTGATGTCCAATAAGATGTGTCTTGTTGACGCTGAAGGCATTTAAAAGTTGTTCTCTGGGGTGAATTCTCTTGTAGTGAGGAGGGCTGAAAGCTCTCAAACACACTGCACTGGAAGATTTCCTACCTGTATGAATCCTCTTGTGAGTAACCAAATTTGAGTTCACACTAAAGGTTTTCCAAAACTCAAGACATCTGCAGAATTTCTCTTTGAAGTGACTGATAAAGTGTTTTGTTAGGACAACTCTCTGGGTAATAAAGCATTTCTCACACTTCCTATAACTGCAGGATGTTTGGTCCCCACTGAAGTCTGAGCTCTGACCAGTCTGAGATTCACTTAATATTCATCTTAATGAGTTATATGACATGTAAATACACTTTTTATATTATAACATCACGTCTGGTCAAGACATATGTGAAGCCTCTAAGGCATGAGGATGGCTGAGCTCAAGACCCTTCTCACCCACATTACAGATATATGGTTTTTCACCAATATGTACTGTTGGATGTTGAAGAAGGGCAGAGGTCTGGTGGAAGTTTTTATCACATACACTGTATTTATAATGCAGGTCCTCTGTTTCAGTTCTCATTTTCTGTTGGGCAACAAAGTCCATACCCAGGAGGAAGCCACTCTCACATGTAGACCACTGATGTGGTTTCTCTTCCATGTGAATTCTTTGATGTACAATAAGGTCTGAGTTACAGTTGAAACTTTTCTCATATTCAAGGCATTTAAAAGTGTGAGTATGAGTGGCCTGGTGCCTTATGAGGTTGGCACTCCGCGTAAAACTTCTCATGCATTCCAAGCATTTATACGGCTTCTCACCTGTGTGGACTCTCTGGTGCACAATAAGATCTGATTTCTGGCCAAAGCATTTTTCACAGGCACCACATTTATAGGGCTTCTCCCCAGTATGAACTCTTTTATGTACAATGAAGGCTGATCGGTGTCGATAACTTTTCTCACACTTATTACATTTGTAGGGTCTTTCACCAGTGTGAGTTCTCTGGTGGCTAATGAGATCAGATTTCCCACTAAAAGCTTTTTCACACTCCAGACACTTAAATGGTTTCTCACCTGTGTGAGTTCTTCGGTGCCTTATGAGGTTTGTACTTCGACTAAAGCATTTATCACACTCACTACACAGATACGGTTTCTCGCCTGTATGGCTTCGCTGGTGGACAAGCAGATCAGAGCTCTGACCAAAATTCTTGCCACAAATGTCACATGTATAGAATTTTTTACCTGCATGTGTTCTCTGGTGTCCTGAAAGGGCTAAGTGGTGCCAAAAGCTCTTTTCACATTTGCTACATTTATATGGTTTCTCATAATTGTGAATCTTCTGGTGTGAAATAAGATCTGAGCTTTGGATGAAGGTTTTCTCACACATATCACATCTATAAGGTTTCTCCCCTATATGAGTTCTTTCACACATAATAAGAGCTAAGTTTTCACAGAAGTTTTGTTCACGTTCAAGGCACTGGTATATATGATTATCTATTTGAGTAATCTCATGCACATGAATAAAAATCTTTTTACCCTTCTGAGGGCATACATGATGTATTTTCTTTTTTTGAGTTCTCTGATTACATCTCTCTTCTGAAGTGTGCATTTTCTATGGCTCTCTCCTATGGGGTTTTCCAATGGTCTTTCTGACCCATCATTGCCTTTGTAGTCATTGTCTTGATGAGAATGTGGAAGACACATCTGTTTCAAGCCTTTCAGTCATACACAGTCCTCCTTCACAAGTTTCCAGCATTATATACATTAATTCCTTACTTCATATTTTCAAACCTATGAAACAAAGTAGAAATATTATTTATACTCTTATCTAAGAAGAGTCCTCAAAATTAAAATCTCTGCAGAAAATAAATTTTGTATGAGAGTACCTAAGTCTTCTAGGTTTTATGTGGGTTGAATATTACTTATCCAAAAGATGCTTGGGAAGAGAATTTAGATTTTGCAGTATTTCCACATAAATAATGGGATATCTTGAGGCTAGGACTCAAGTCTAAACACAAAATTCAGTTAGGTTTCATGTGTAGCTTACACATAAACTCTCAAGGTTTTTATACAATAGTTAAAATTTTACGCACAAGCCGGGGGTTTAGCTCAGTGGTTCCACTGCCTGCCTTACAAGCAGAGGGACCTGAGTTCGATGCCTTATATCAAAAAAGAAAAAGAAAAAAAAATTGTGCACAAAACGAGGCTTCGTTGTGTGGAATTTTAATGGCATCATGTTGAAACTCACAAAGTTACAGATTCTGCTTTCTGAATATTTGGATTAAGGATGTTTCATCTGTATTTAAGTTTCCTCTCTGCTAATATAAAAACAATTCGCAATACATATCAGAAACTCCAAGTAACAATTCCTTCTTTTATGAACGTGAGTAGCCTCAAAATTCGGCTCTTGTTTCACTTGCCCCAACTGAGAAATCAAGATAAGCTTAGTAATTAGTATGCCTGTTCAGAAAGAAAGCAAATCAAAGGGAACTATTTTCCAGGTCCTTCATATTTACTGTCTTCAGTAACCTTTTACTATGCTTGACTTTCTTTTCATACATGCAACATTACCATCCTTTGCCTTAGGAGTATAAGCTAATAACCTCACAACGTTTTTTAATTTTAGAGATTTTATTGCACTAAAGGAACAGCAGGACAGTTACACAATTTTCACTCTCATTCAACCCCCCTCCCAAAATGCCGCTGCCACCCCTGCCCCACAACACCAGGCAGGAGCCGCATTGCTAAGCTACATATCCCTGGCCCTCTCATTCAACTATGAAAATCTAAAATACTCGCAAATTCTTAAAATCCTTTACCACCAGATTAGAACAGTAAACTTAATACAAGTTTCTTAATCAGCAATTTTCTTACAAATAAAAAACATATTTAACATAGCTTTAAATGTATTCTTCACAATTAATTAGCATGTATTTTTTACATTTGGTTTTAGCCAAAAGAACAAGAAGTGATAATTACCATGTAGTTTTTAATATCATGTTCACTTATGCTTAAGAATTAAGCAAGTAGGGCCGGGGATTTAGCTCAGTGGTTCTGCTGCCTGCCTTGCAAGCACAAGGTCCCAAGTCTGATCCCCAGTACCCCGTCACAAAAAAAGAATGAAGCAAATATATTACTGTGATAGAGACATGGGAAATCTCTCATTCACGCACTATACAGGGATAATATTCAAGTAAAAGGGCAAAAACCCATTCTTTGTTTTTATAAATGTATCCAGATATTATCATCTACATGATAAATGAGGAAACCTATCCAGTTTCCTACAACTCAGATGTACATTTTAACTTAATCAGAAGCACCTGATTATCTACAGCTATAGTAAGATGGCATTTCAATAAACCAAAATAAGCCCTTCAGGTTCCTATAAACAAAAGCTTTCAATGGACTAAGGACAATCAGTAATTAATGTGCTAATTCAAAGGAATATGGTTCTTCCTTAAAGAGTGCAACATCAGAGGTAATTATTTTAAATTAATTTATATGTAATTCCAATTAAATTCTTTATCCAAGCAAAACGGTCTTTCCACAAGCAAAAACTGTGGAAACATTTAAAAAATGAGTTATTTTTTAAAGCAACTGATCAGATTCCATAGGTAACTCTTGGAAACAGAAACTTGCTGGACAGAATCCCTTCCTATGGTGGTTTCTGCATGAGCTTAACTGGACAATTCTTCTGTGCGTTGTTCTAAGAGCTCACCAAAACACAGATCTGGCCACACAGATAGTAAAAAAAAAAAAAATGCTAGTAGGTAAAAAGTTAATTTGCCCAGCATTCTGACAGTACACTAGCATGTCTGCATTCATGATGGCTGTAGGGTCACAGAGTCCTGGTCTGCTTATCACTAGGTCTACTCATGTACCTCCAAATACAATATACCAAGAGGGGCATATTGAGACCCCATGTAAGCTACTCTGCTGCACAAAAAAACATGACAGAGAAGGCAGCATGGATGAGATTCTAGGGAAGGACAAGAGGATTCAGGGTATTGCAATGGTCTACAGGATACTTGCAATCCATTTTCAGCTCATCAAATGCTATAATATGCCAGATGGCAAAGAAGATGAGTGTGGTGGTGAGCTGGAGAGCCAGCATATAAAAGACGACCACAAATATGAACACCATGGCTGGGGCGGAGTGGGTGCGAGCATAAAAAGCTAAGCTAATGATTTTTACTAAGAAAACAGAAGTAAAATAACAATAACACACAAATAAAAGAAACACCTTCCGCATGCTCCCACCACCTCCTCAACCAATTTCTTTCACATGTGGTCAAGCACTACATCTCTTAACCATGGATGGCAAACTGCCTTTGCTCAATCTAAAGGCATCCTTCCCATCTGCGTACTGGATTCCACCCCCTTCTTCACAAGGACACCACTACAGCAATTCTACCCTTCCTCTCTGCCATTATGCATTTACTCCTTTACACTGGATCATTCTATTTAGCAAACTGATTATCTCTCTTCTAAAAAACAACATCTTTCTTCTAACCGACAAGAAAACGGGTCTCAATCGCCCAACCCTCAAATTAGAATTTCTCTTTACATTAAAGCTTCCCAAAAGAAATGAGTCTACTTACCATCTCCAACTCTTGTCTTTGAATGTATCTGGAATATTTTCCAATCAAACATTCACCCTCACCGTTCCATCAAAACTGCTCTCATTAGAAACTAAAGCCCCTAAAAAATCTGACACCCACTGTCACCACTGTGACTCATTTCCCTGTTTTTCTGCTACACATTTATAGTTGTTACTCTGTTTTTTGCCATTGTTCAAACAAGCCAGACCTGTTCCTCATTGTTTCTCTATGGCTGAAGGGCTTTTCCTCTAATCATCTTCAAGGTTCTCTCCTTCACCTTATATCTTTGCTCAAGGGTCACATTCTTTTGATGCCTTCTCTGGTTATCCTCTAAATTAAAATACACTTAAATCTAGCTGACCCACAATATGGATCCAGAATACACAGTATATCATCATCCCAACTGACCCAAAGAATGTAGATGTGCTATGCTATGCTAAATACAGTGACAATATCTCAGATTGCAAACATTCTATCATGTCTTTATAATTTTGAGCCAGGAGTGGTGCCGCACGCCTGTAATCCCAGCACTCAGGAGGCTGAGGCAGGAGGATTGCTGTGAGTTCGAGACCAGTCTGGGCTACACAGTGAATCCCAGGGCAGACTGAACTTCATAGTCTTTACTGCACACTATTACAAATGATATTTTTTGGTCCAAATGATAGCTTTCATGGTATTATAGAACCCTTTAGACTAAAAAACTATTTTTTTCTGCTCATTTGGTAATGAATATCATTGCATACAATAAGTATAAAAACTTGACCCATCAAATGAATCCTTGTTAGCCAATATAATACCTTAAAAATTAGCATGTATCTGTCCCTCTAATATAAGTGGAAGAATATTTTTCTATGTATTTATCACCAAGATGCTGAGTCTGAGTTCATCTTGTTGACTGACATACCTGCTTTTGGGTTTTAAGGAACTGCCTACAATGGCAGGTACCCACAGAAAGCACAGCTTTAACTGTACCATGTGCATTTCAGGAAATGTTTATCAGAAAACTTGATAACAATATACAATGTATTAAGCCCCAAGAACATTCCTTGTCTGTCTTAATCAGCCCACAAAACTTTAAGTATCACAGAAAATATTCTTTTTCTTTTCTTCTATTAAACTGAGTTTACAGAGCTAAGTGCATAGGATTTGTTCTTGGTTACAGTGAGAGGAAGACAACAGGGGACCTATATACTGAGATACTAAGATTCTAGAGTAGCACTAGGTACACAGTTGGCACCTAATAAGCATATGGAATGCAAAAATGAATTGTCACTGAAATTCTATTTCTCTCAACTAGTAAAGAAAAAACAAACACTAAAATGCCACAGGGATGGGAGCTATTCTGATGAGATGTGTTCTCAAAGAGAAAAATTAAATTTCAAAAGACTGAAACAATCATATCTTACCCAGAATCTAGACAGAAGAAAAGCAGCATTCTTCTAATGGTCTTGAAAATCTGATTACTCAAGGCATTCTGTAAAACACAAGGACAACAAGAGGGCAAGAAGCCACAAATGAGAGGATTTAGCACTAGATTATTTACACACAAAGGACCTAACAATGAATAAATGACAGTTTTCTTAAAAAAAAAAAAAAAAGATGAGTTTTCTTAAGGTAATCCCTTTAATTCCATTCTGTAGAGAATAACCATGATCCCAAGTCAACCCTTATGACTTTTTAACAAGGATGTTAAAAAAGGTCAACATATGAACTAGAGAAAAATAATTAATTCAAAATCCCACTTACTCTGAAAAACTTAAAAGGCCCAGATTATTTCCACAAGGTAATTCTAACAAATCTACAGACCAAGTAAACCCAATCATTCAAAAATGTTCTCCAGAAAACCGAAATAGAGGAACAAGAATAACACTGATAACCAGTCCTGATGAAGACAGTACAGCAAAATTCACAGCTGAATATCACTATCAATGTAAAAAATATTGGGCTGGGGATTTAGCTCAGAGGTTCTGCCGCCTGCCTCGCAAGTGCAAGGACCAGAGTTCAATCCCCAGTAGCCAAAAAAAAAAAAAAAAAAAAAAAAAACCTCAGTGAAAAATACTAACAAAAATCTATAGCATATTGGGCTGGGGATTTGACTCAGTGGTTCTGCTGTCTGCTCTCAAGCACAAGGGCCAGAGTTAGATCCCTGGTACCAGAAAAAAAAAATCTATAGCATATCAAGACATATCAAGAACATAATACACCATGACAAAGTGGGAATTATTCAAGGACTGCAAGTTCGGTTCACTATGTGGACCCCCTCACTAGTAGGAAACTCATTACTATAATACACCACATTCATAAATCTATAGAGAAAAACCATATCTACCTCCATGAGTACTGCAAGAGTTCACAACTACAATCTACATCTATCCCCAAACAACTCATGGGCACTGCCTTTTAACATGATACAATTTGTATTGTATTTCTTATGCTAAAACCAGCACCTTATGTGAGAAAATCTACAGTCATTTCCACTAAGAGGAACAAGGCAAGGAGGTCACTACCTCCTCTTTTATTAAACATTGACTTTGAAATATTAATGTAATTAGAAGAAAAACCAATTAGGGCTGTAATAATTGAAAAGTAGCAAGAAAATTCTCTACCTTAAGATAACATGCTATTATATAACTAGGAAACTCTAGAGTGAACTAATACTAAAACTGACTCAAACAATATCGAAAAAGAAAAGAGAGGGATTCATGCTAGCTAACTTCAAGACTTACTGTAAAGCTACAGTAATCAAGACAGTGTGGTATTGAGAGATACACAGCTGAATGGAAGAGAATAGAGAGCTCAAAAATATACCCACGTAAGTATAATTAGCTGATCTTTAACAAAGAAGCCAAAAAAATCACAATAAAATTGCACAGGGATAAAGGGTATTACTACCATATGATGTAATTAATTTATACAGTGTAAAAATATATACAGTGAATTCTTTACTTAAAAGAATAACATGGCGTTAACAGAGGCTAAGGGGTAAGAGGCTGGCTCACTGTTGGTTAATTTCAATTAGTCAAGAATAAGTTAAAAAGGTCTAGTATACCTCATGATGATTAATAGTTAATAACAATAAATATACTGTTATTCAAATATTTTTAAGTGAGTAATTTTTTTTAATTTTATTGAGTTTATTGGTACATTTTAGGGATACAGTACAGTTACATTCATTGTTGGGATAATGTACCTCTACATGGCAAGTCTTGATTCTCATTTTTTCCCCTTACCTCTGCCCTCCCTTCACCCCCTCCTCCCCTCCCCATCTACAAACACTTTATTTTCATCTTTTCATTCTCTCACATTTTTTTCTTTTCCCTTTTTGTTCTTCCCCTACGCATCACACCTTCCCTACACCTTTAGCTCCTTTCTTCAAATTTCTAAATGTCAGTAATCTTATTAGAATCTTATGCATTGTTGCAGAATTAAGTGAGCAAATTTTAAGTGTTCTAGGGCCCGGGGATTTAGCTCAGTCATTCCATGGCCTGCCTTGCAAGTGCAAGATCCCAAGTTCAATACCCAGTACCAAAAAAAGAAAATTTTAAGTGTTCTCATCATAAAAAAAGATATGGGAAATAATACATATGTTAAATACCTTAATTTAACCATTCCATTATGTATATATAATCTATAATCTATACCAAGCATGTATACCATGAACACAAAATTTACTTCTCAATTAACTAAACTTTAGAAACTGATTATAGAGCTAAATGTAAAACAAAAAATTATAAAATTCCTATTCTATTGGAGAAACTATTGATGACTCTGAGCAAAGCAATGACTTTTTAAGATACAAGATCAAAGGCCCAAACCATAGAAGAAAACTGTTAAATTAGACTTCATTAAAATTAAAAACTTCTGTGGTGGGGATTTAGCTCAGTAGTGCTGCCACCTGCCTCAAAAGAGCAAGGTCCTGAGTTTAATTCTCAGTACAATAAATAAATAAATAAAACTTCTGCTCTGCAAAAGACATTAAGAAAATGTAAAGATAGGCCACTGTCCAGAAGAAAACATTTGCATAAAACATATCTGATAAAGGACTATTCACATATATAAAATATCACAAATATATTACATGCATACAAACTCTTAAAACTGAATTAAAAAATTGAATTTAAAAAGGGCATCAATCCCCAGTACCAAAAAACCAAACCAAACCAAAACAAAACAAAAAAGGGCAACAGACGTGCAAAACACTTCATTAAAAAACATATACAGCCGGGCATGGTGGCGCACACCTTTAATCCCAGCACTCGGGAGGCTGAGACAGGAGGATTGCTATGAGTTTGAGACCAGCCTGGGCTACATAGTGAGTTCCAGGTCAGTCTCAGTCTCAACTACATAGTGAGACCCTGTCTCAAAAAAAAAAAAAAAAGAACATATACAGATGGGCCAGGGATTTAGCTGGGCTGGGGTGTATCTCAGTGGCACTGTGTCTGCCTTGTAAAGTTGATCCGAGGTACAGAAAAAAAAAGAGCATCTACAGATGACTTGTAAGCATATGAAAATGTGTTCAACATCATTATTAGGGAATTTTAAAGTAAAATGAGATAATAGTACATGTTCGCAGGAATAGTCAAAATCACAACACTGGCAACAGCAAATGTAGGTGAGGCTGTAATACAACAGTTCTCATACAGTGCTGACAGGACTGAAGAATGGTAAAAACTTTGGAAGACATTTGACAGTTTCTTCAAAAACTAAACATGCTTTTTTTATACTACGTGTATTTATCCAAATGGTTTAAAAATTCATGTCCACATATATGTTTGTGTCCGTATAAACCTGCACACAAATGTTTGTAGCAGATTTAGTCATAACTGCTAAAACATAGAAGCCACCAAGATGTGTTCAGTAGGTGATGGATTATGTAGAGTGTGGTACATGTACACAAGACAATACTGTTGAATGCTAAAAAGGAAAGGAGCTACTAAGTCAATGAAAGACATCAAGAAACCTTAAATGGAAATAACTGAGTGAAAAAAGCCAATCTAGAAAAACTACATACATTACTATACAACTCCAACTATATGATTCCAAAATTATTTTATGACATTCTGGAAAAAGCAAATGTAGGGAATCAGTAAATATGTTCAATGGCTGCCAAGACTAGTGAGGAAGGAGGATAAACAAATGAAGCACAGAATCTGTAACATATGCAACCTAAAAAGTAAATCTTAATGTAATTATGGATTCTGAGTAATAATGATATGTCAAGAGATTCACTGACTGTAACAAATGCACCACTCTGGTGTGGGATGTTGAAAGTAGAGGACACTGTGCCATTGCTGAAAGGCAAAGGGTCATATGGGAACTCTGTATTCTTTGCTTAATTTTGCTGTGCTTCTTTAAGTGCTCTAAAAATAAAGACTATTTTAAAAATGAGATCAGGGCTCAGGATTTAGCTCAGTGGCATCGCACCTGCCTCACAAGCCCAAGAACCTCAGTTTGATCCCTACTACCAAAAAAAAAGATCATCAAACGCAGCACATGAAATACCATTTTTTAAAAATTGACATACATTAAAGGATGTAACAATATATTTTGTTGTCAAGACTATAGGAAAACAGACTACAATATTCATGTTGCTGGAAGGAATGCAAATTGGTATGACTTCCTTGTCCCTCTGGAAGGGAGCGTACTGTACCACACAGCAAAACATACACTTATACTGGACCCAGCAGTCTCATTTCTAGACAGTGACTCTGAAGATACTTCTCCAATGTTATAAAAATACACAGGCCAGGCGTGGTGGCGCACGCCTGTAATCCCAGAACTCGGGAGGCTGAGGCAGGAGGATCGCTGTGAATTCGAGACCAGCCTGGGCTACATAGTGAGTTCCAGGTCAGTCTCAACTACCTAGTGAGACCTTGTCTCAAAAAAACAAACAAACAAACAAAAACAAAAAATACATGCGTAAAGTTATTTATTATAGCAGTGTTTTCTAACTGGAAAATATTTAAAATAATTTCAGTGTCTTTATGTTGACAAGTGGTTAAATAAGCAATAGCACAGCCATAATATAAATGAGAATGAGGAAAATTTTTATGAACTAATATAGAGTAATTCTAGGACAAGCTGTTTTTAAAAAGCTGTATTTTACATAAGAAAGTAGAAATTAAAAATGGTACGACTATCTATTTGGCCACAAAGAAATGAAGAGAAGATAGACAAACTAGTAAGTCTGATTATCACCACAAAGCAGATGAAAATGGGATCAAAAGACAAAAACAGAATTGATATAAAAGAGTGGAGGAAAAACTCCCACTTCTTTGAGAATACATTTTTGTATAATACAAATTTCTACTTTTAGAGCTGTTACATTTTACATATTTAATAAATACAGACAAAATGGGAGCAATTATAAAGTACAATCCAAACAAAACCAAGTTCATGATTTAAATGTGTAACACTACCACTCACTAGAGGAAAAACAACAGAACTGTTTAACACAGTATTGAGACTATATAAACTTCAAGATAAAAACAACTATAATGATTAAGCTATGAATAGGATTTTGACTTTTTTCTCCACCTTTATTGGCAACTGATAAACTTGCTGACTTGTATTTACAATCTTCCTGCCTCAGCCTCCCAGGTGCAGTCACCATACCCACCATTTCCCCCTCATTGGTGGTAAGGGTGCACCTTAGAATTGAACAAATAAGTACATGTGCTATGGATAATGGCACCTAGATTTCCCACTATCAGGCAAATCACAAATTCAGAAAAGAAAAAGGTTAGAATGATTCTATATTGTTTAACTGGAATTGAAATAGAAGAATGAGGTCAGGATTTAAAGCATATACAGAGAGAAAAATAGAAGTGTGTGTGGTGTGTGTGTGTGTGTGTGTGTGTGTGTGTATTTTCCTAGTAACATTTGCTGAGAAGTCACAGAAATGAAAACTGTACTAATGAGGATACTAGGCACTCAGATTTTGGGTGTTAAGTACCATTCTCTATTGAGAGGAATTCGAATTTGTTAGAGAAAAGGCTGATTACAGGGTTTGGAAACAAGATGTGCCTGAAATATCTTGTTGTGTAGAAAGTAAAGAAGAGCTCAAAAGTGGACACAGTATGCTAAAATGAACCTGGAATTGGTTGGAGTTGCCACTGTACAAATCTGGAACAAAGAGATCAAAGTAAACCATAGTAATAAAATATGAACATCATAAGAATCCATGACTCTGTAATCATTAGAGAATGGGTAAAAGAAAAGAGACAATTTCTTACATTAAAAAAGCCAATAATTAATTAAATGTGAAATGCTGGAATTAAAAAAATCACCATGCCCAATGGAAAAAATAATTAGGCAAAAACCTAGCTAGTAAAAAGTTTTATGATCATCAAGACAGATATTTCCAGTAGATATTTAATGATTACAAAGATTAAAAACAAGATCACAGTTAACATGTCACCAGCACTGAGACAAAGCAACATCACGTGCCTTCTCATATGAAGCAGAGGACATCACATCACTCTGGGTTCTCTGCCAAAACACATAACCATTTAAAATCAGGTTTATAAGGAAATAGCAGGAAAACCCAAAATGAGGAAAATGCTACCAAATGGGCTGAATTTTTCAAAAACAAGGTACTAAAAGACAATACCTGAAAATATATTCCTCTGCAAAAAGAACACTATTAATTTGATAAAATGCTGGACTACAAAACTCCTCCTACCCCCCTTTGCTACTAAAACACATAAGTGGAACAACTGGCTAAATTTGAATAGTGTCTATAGATTACAGTACTTTTTGAATGTTTGTTTCTTGATGCTGAATATTGTGCTAACAATTTAAGAGAATATTCTTCTTTTTAAGAAATATGCAATTGAGTATTTTGGACAGGCTTTTTCAATTAGTTCTCTGGGGAGAATTAAGCACTGAATTAAGAAAATGTATTTTAAAACTACTTTTTCAATTCTCCCAAAAATGAGAGGCACCTAATAACACTGCACAAGTATAGAAGCTATGTAATTCATTATACACTTTAGGAATTAATTTTCTCATAGTTTAAGACAAAAAAAAAAGACATTATGTCTAAAACTTGTTTTCAAATGGTAAAACAATACATGACCATGTGTATACAGAAACAAATAGTAAAATATTAGCATGTAGAGAATACAGACATTTTTTGCATTCTCCTAACAATTTTTTTTTTTTGGTACCAAGGATGGAACTCAGGCCCTTGTGCTTGCGAAGCAAGCAGTGGAACCAGAGTCAAATCCCCAGCCCTCTCTTACAAATTTTTAAAGTCTGAAATTATTTCAAAATTAAGTTATTTTATCTTAGATTTTAAGAAACATAGTGGCTGAAGATTATTATATTTTGGTAGATAAAACAAGCTTAATTTAAGCTCTGGAATCAGATTTTTGGTTCAAATTTCCATTGTATACCTTTGTAGCTATGAGAACTTCGCTAAGTCACTTACTTTCCTTCAATTTCAACCTCTCCTGTGATTAACACAGGTAAAATATATCTCCAAGGGACTTGCTGTGAGAACAGGAACACTACGGGTTAAGGCCCAAGTTCAACACCTGGGTCTCAGAAGATGCTCAATAAATGACAGGTTCTATTTTTTTCTACTTTCACATGCACAAAACTATTAACATTTGTTGAACTCATCCTCTTGACTCTTGTGCCAAGTCTGTTTGTAACCTATTTAAAATGATTAAGACAATGCAGCCAGTTAACAATGCCAAAACTAGAAAAATATATGGAGAAATGTCAAAGAGGAGAATTCCAATTCAAAAATCACAAGATAAGATATGCAGGCACACATATAAAGCAGTAGCTCAAGATGGTGGATTTATGGGAATTTTGTCTCTTAAAATATGTATTACTGTTAACCTTAAAAGTAGAGTACAGAAGAAATAAAGCATTCTGAGTTTGTTCATGACTTGGAAAATCAATCAGATTATTCCGTAAAGTTATCAGTACAAGCTATCATAATTGCTCTAAACAACCAAAAAAAGTATGGTGCACCAAAAAGGAAAAATTTTTTTAATTGAGAAAAATCATCTTCTTAAACCTTTTAGATGTCAGCATTTACAAAATAAAATATAGTCTGGTTGTGAAACCTCAAAGTAGACCACAACACTTCCTGAGTTTAAAATATTCTGTTTCCTATCACACTCAGAGGTAAAATCCAACGTTTTTACTGCCCTATATAATGTGGTACTTTGCACACCTTCAGCCTCAAAGGCTACCTCAGAGCTTTTACACTTGTTCTTTTACACTTCTGTCTATGTCTCTCTTCCAAACAGCTTGCTTCTTGATTGTCTCTATCTCAAAATTACTTCCTCAAAAAGGATAATCCTACCTTATCAAAGATAATTCACATCCCCTTATCTCTATTTCTCTCCACAGCACTTATCTCTACCCAAGTTTGTGGTATATAATGCTCACTGTACAGGCCCTAGGCCAGGAATTACCTTGTTTATTTTCCATTGATTATAGCAATTCTTTCATTTAATCCTCCCAACAAACCTGTAAAATAGGTATTAATATCAAATATTTGCATCTTACAGATAAAAAAAAAAATCTGATATTCATAGCAGTTAATCACTCCAGAACTCACAGCTGGGTAAGTATGACAGCCAGAGTTTACTATCCATCTTCTGACTCTAGAGCCTGCATAAGCATTGGGCATACTGCCTTCTTTGTGTAGGCAATCAATCAAGAAGCAATTATTGCTAGCCTAGTGTGAATAGGCAAGCATGCTGGAATGGAATAGAAAACATTTAAATTGGTAGAACAGGGCCCCTAGTAATCTGCCATTTTAGTGACTAAGGAAAGGCTGTTACTTTTTGCTATGTATCATCTCCCACTCTTTCCTGTCCTGCTCCTTTCCAAATTCATATTTGTACAGAAATACAGAGTCTAGTGTGTCACTTACCGGAACACAAAAGACTTGACTGGGTTCTTTTTTGGCTCCAAAAGAGCTCTGGTCCAGAACTAGTCACAATACTTAATTCTTCCCTCTCCTAGGGAGAAAAAAAAAAAAAAATCAACAATTCAGATGACTTTGTGAGATTTATAATTTTTTTAAGAGTTTGCCATTTAAATATTGGTCCTATTAACTCCAGTCTGGTCAGCACCCTTCAACCAAATCTTATCTCTTATCGTTGTTTACATCCTTTCTCTTGCAAGAACTGTCACAAAGTTCCTTCCTGACCTGCTCTACACAAAATATCAAAAATCCTTCCGGCTAATGACGAACTTTAATTTCCTAACAGAGCCCTAGCCTTGTCTTGGTTATTTGAATTTTTCTTCTGCTAATTTTGTTTGTATTGTCCCAATTTGCGGGCCAAAAATTTATTTTTCCAACACTACAAACCTCTAAGGTGTTCCATATAATACGAACTTACACATCACATATATTTCAGCCTTCTAAAGGAAATGGCTATGAAATGGTTAAAGCAATCAAATTCTGCAAACAGATCGAACTGCAATATAACTAATCTCTATAGTGAAGACTGGGAAAGGATTTATTAACTGTCCTTGGTTTTCCCATAAGTTTTCATATGGCATATAAAAGCTATGTATGGCTTAGACAAGTGTTTATTATCATCTCCAGAAACTACCCTACTAAAAGGGTCTTCAACTTTTCATCGACTGCTGCACAGTCCTGGGTCCTCAGCGTGGAGGGGCCGGCTGCTTCCCTCGACTCCCTTCCCTTCACCCCACTCCCCTACCCGGCCCGCCGCGCTCACCCGGCAGCCACGGAGCCGCCCCTCGGCCTGCGGGCGGCACTTCCGGTTACTCGCGGACACTTGGATCCGGGCTTCCCGGCGGCCGCAGATTCCGCAGCAAAGGGCCAGAAGGCCTAGTTTCAGAGGGGAAGGAAAGCAAGTCTGGGAGGCCGATGAGAACTCAGAAATTCCTTTAACGCTATTCGGCGAAGGCCAAGCCGTACTCTCAAGGCCGAGGAGCTAGAGTCCTAGACTCCTTTCAGTCCAGCTGGGAAGCCGCCGCGTAGCTCCACCCCCGTGGACCACGTGACCGCTATACCGGCTACGAGGAGCTACACCCCCAGCCTCTGGACCAATGGGGACTGAGCCTCCGGGAAGGGGCGGGACATGGGGCGCATGCGCCCTGGGCCTTCTGCTCTTTCTGAGGGGTCGTCACTAGTCCCTTGTGGCGCGGACGATGGGAAGGAGGCCTTCGCCTTGCCGGATCTCGGACTAATCAATACGGATGGCTCCGTAGTTTGTATTGCCGTCTCCGACATCTGTGCTCGTTCCTCACGCTATTAAAACAGGACTCCAGTCCAAGAGTAGCGTCATATAGATGCTGCAGACTTGGAGAAAACACCCCAGGAGGTGTGGAAGCGATAGAGGATTCCAAGGCCCCGCGGAAGCGCTCGCCAGCGAGCTACCTGGAGCGCTTTGAAAGGGGAGTAGTGGTGACCTCGTGTGGCGGAAAAAACAGCACGGGAGGAGGATTGGAGGGTCCCGGTTCTTCTCTGATTGTGTTTCTAGGCTGGAGTCAATCGAGAGTAATCGCTGATGTGTGGGCTGAAGCAGAGCTGAGATTTCCTAGAGAGCAAACAGTATACGTTCTCCCTGCTCAATTCCTTAAAAAAAAAAAAAAGTTTTTAAAGCCCCAGACATCGTCGGGCATGTTGGTGCATGCCAGTAAGCCCAGCGCTTGGGAGGTTGAGGCAAGAGGACCTCTATGAGTTTGAGGCCAGCCTGAACTGCATAGAGAGACTGTCTCAAAAAGGAAGGATTAAAACAAAAAAATGCCGCCAGACCATCAAAAGGGAATTTATCCTTTATCAAATATAGACAACCGCAGTGTGGCCCAGGATTTAGACTGAGACCCACCACTTGAGGTTAGGGACTAGGTAGGTTAAAGATTAATCACCATGTTCCCACCTTTTGGAATTCTGCAGAGGAGCTGCAGCTTATTTATTTTCAATCTTGTTTTATACGAAAACTCCTAAGTGGGGTGAAAATACGTCACTTGGCCATCTTGCTATTTAAATAATAACTGAAACACTTCAAATCTCTTCACCTGAATTGTCTCATTTAGCCATGACACAAATGGCATTCGATGTATGTTGCTGTCTTAGGAGGGCTCTGGGATTCACAAAGTTTGACTTGCCAAGATTACATGTTTAGAAATTGATGATACTGAATTGTGAACTGTCTGGTACCAGATCTGTTGCTTGCAGCCACTGTACTTGTGTCTGCCTCAGTAGTGGAATGTGTTGCGGGAAAGTATTGGAATAAAAATTAAGCAAACTGGGTTCCAATCCTGCTTTACTTAGAAGATCTAGATAATTGTTGAACTCTTCAGCCTTTTGTTTCATGAGACACTAGCCTAAAGTACTAATTATGTGTATTCACTTGACATTTATTGAGAACCTCTAATTCACTTGACACTGACTGTGCTGGATATTAGGGATTTAAAGGCAAGTAAAACTCAGTCCCATTCCTTATAGTCTAGTATAGAAACCAGAGACATCAGAAGTAGTATGGTAAAGGTAGAAGTTGCTTAAGCTAGTCTGGGAGCGGGGAGATGGGGCATTTAGTTAAGACTTTGAAAAAAAAAGTAAGCAAAGACTACTAATCACAGGGGAATCTGATCTATGGTAGTTATGTACTCTCTCTTCATAGCCAAGAGTAGTAGGGAGGAAAAAGGACACAGTTTCTGCTTTTTGAAGACTCTTGGCTATGAAGAGAGAGGTTGTCTGTTTTTTATTTCCTATTTACTTCAGTTACCTATGTATGTTTCTAAATATTCTATCCATCATTTAAAATGATATATTAAAATTTCCAAATTTATTGTAGAACTTTCTAATTTTTATTGTAGAGCTGTTTTTAATTCTGTTAATGTCAGCTTCACATATTTAGCTATTTTTATTTAGTGAATAAATATGTCTATAACTGTTACATCTTTTTATAGTTGATTTTTATCAGTACATAGTGTCCTCTGACTTGTAATTTTTTTATTCAAAGCTATTTTGTCTGATACTAGTATAACTACCTTATCTCTTTGATTAATGTTTCTATAGAGTATCTTTTCTATTTGTGTTATTAGATCTGTTGGTGTTATTAGATCTTTTCCAAGCTATTTGTTTTTAGATCTGAAGTGAATCTTTAGTAATTAGCATATAGTTGAATCATTTTTAAGCATTCTGTTGATTAGAGATTCATTTATATTTAATGAAATTATGAAGAATTTATCTCTACCATTTTGCTGTTTTCGGTGTATCTTTTACCTTTTGGAACTCTTAATGTCCTCTATTATTATGATCTTTTGTGTTTTGTTGATTTTTTTAGTAAGCAGTTCTGATTGTCTCCTCATTTCATTTTTGTATTTTTTTTCATTTGTGTATTTTTAAAAGCTATTTTCTTTGTGGTTACCCTGAAAATTATAGTAAAGATCCTAAATGTATGACAATTAAATTTGAATTGATATTATTTAACCTCAGTAGCATTCAACAACCCTGTTCCTATGTAACTAATCCCCCATGCCTGCTTTATGCTGTTGTCATCATACATTGATTGCATCTTATGGATTTTGTGCCCCGTATCATACAGTTATAATTGTTTTATGCATTTGCTGTTTAAATTCTAGAAAATAAAAAATTGTTATGTTTCATAATGGAACAATACTGATTTTATATATGCCCATATATTTGCCTTTTCTGAAGATCTTTGTATTTTCACATACCTCTTGAGTTACCATCTGGTGTTATTTCATTTGCACCTGAAAGTCTATAGTATTTCTGATAGGGCAGGCCTAGTGTTTAATTATCATGTGTCGTGCCTTGGATCTATTGAGCTTACCCTACCTGGAGTTTGTTGAGCTTTGTGGATGTGTAAATTCATGTCTTTTATCAAATTTGAGAAGTTTTCAGCAATTATTTTTTTCTCTTCTCTCATAAGTCTCTCATGAAGTGTCTTTTTGTTCACATAATATCATCCCCAGCTAACTTATGTTCTGCTCTTCAGAAAACTTGGTTTTCACACTTTCTGCTTGTTTTTAAATGTTTCTGTTGGGAGATGGGGAATTAGAGTCTCCACTCTGCCATTTTCCTCCAAATGTTTTTTTTTTTTTTTTTTTT